AAAAGTATAGCAAATATTAATTGAACTATACCAATAATCATTGTACATTTCAATGGTCTAGAAACACCAGTTAAAAGAGGTTGTCAGAGGGAATGAAAAACTAAGACCCAATTATATGTTACCTACAAGAAACCTACTTTTAATATAAAGAAACATAGATTAAAAATAAAAGCATGAATAAAGTTATAGCATGGTAACATGATACTCATTAATGCATATGTGCTTAACAACAGCTGCACATAAAAGTACATGAATCAAAAACTGATGAACTTAAGGGAGAAAATGGAATAAATGAATCTACTATTACAGTTGGAGACTTTATTATCCTTCCAAAATAAATAACAGATTCAGCATAAGAAAACCAGCAGGGACATAGAACTTAACAGTACCATTAATTAACTGGATTGACAGCCACAGCATCCAAAAAACAGCAAAATACACACTCTTTTCAACCTCATATGAAACATTCAGTGAGCTAGACCACATCCTGGGCCATAAAACACTTTAACAAATTCAAAAGAATAGAAAGTACATGTTGTCAGACCACAATGGAATTAAACTAACAATCAACAAAAAAAATTAGCTGGAAAAATCCCAGAATAGAGATTAAACATTATATTTCTAAATAACACATGAGTTAAAGAAGAAATCACAACATAGATGAAAAATATCTTGAACTATATAAAAATAAAATAACAACTTCTCAGCTTGTGGCATGAAGCAAAAAGTAGTGCTTAGGTGGAAGTTTATAGCATTGAATGAATATAGTAGAAAAGAAGAAAGATCTAAACTTAGTTATCTAAGCTTCCATCTTAGAAAACTAAAAAAGAAGAGCATATTAAACCTAAATTAGGCGGAAGAATGGAAATAATTAAAATTAAAACAGAAATTAATGAAACTGAAAATAGATCAATAAAGTAAATCAACAAAACAAAGAACTGGTTCTTTGTAAAGATCAATAAACTGGATAAGCCTCTAACTAGGCTAAGAAAGTAACAGAGAGGACATAAATTACTAGTATCAGAAAGGAAAGAGGGGAACTCACTACTGATTCCACGCACAGTAAAAGGATAATAAAAGAATATTAGGGAAAGCTTTATGCCCATACATTTGATAACCTAGATGAAATGGACCAATTCCTTGAAAGATACAACCTGCTAAAACGTAGAAAGAACAGTCAATCTGAATAGACTTATTAAAGAAATTAAAATAATAACTTTCCTTTATTATGATTGAGAGAGAATCTGAGATTCTCTCTTTCCCTCTCCATCTGCCCCTCCCCACTCCATGCTGGCTCACACACTCTCTCGTTCTTTCTCTCAAATAAATAAATCTAAGAAAATAAAAATTAAAGGAAGATATGCAGATCAAAAACGAAGAAATAAAACTGTCTTTTCTCACAGATGATATGATCATATACGTAGAAAATTCAAAAGGACTGAAAAAAAAACTCTCTTGAAACTATTAAGTGAGGATAGCAAGGATGCGGGATACTAAGTTAATATACAGAACTCAATCAATCACTCTCCTATTTCGAGCAATAAACAAGTGGAATTAGAAATTAAAAACACATTGCCTGTTACATTAGCAGCCCTCCAAAAATGAAATAGTTACAAATTTACCAAAATATACATAAGATCCATATATGAGGAAAACCATAATGAACTTTGATGAAAAACTTGATGAATGAAATCTAAAAAGAACTCAGTGGGAAGAGATCTATGTTCATGGGTCAGAAGACTCCATATTGTCAAGATATTGTTCTTCCCAACTTGATTTATAGTTTTAACATAATCCCAGCAAGTTATCTTGTGGTTATCAACAAACTAATTCTAAAGTTTACACAGAGAAAATAAAGGCCTAGACTACCTGACTCAATGAAGAAGAGAATAAAGTCCAAGAACTTGGCACTACCCAACTTCAAGGTACTATAAAGCTACAGTAATCAAGAGTATAGTGTTGGCAAAAGAATACATAAGTAGTTCTACGGGACAGAGTAGAGAGCCCAGCACTAGACCCACATCAATATAATCAACTTACCTGTGACCATGAGGAAAGGCAATAATAGAGAAAAGATAGATTTTTTTCCCAACAAATGGTGTTGGAAGTCCTGGGCATTTTCAAGCAAAAAAAAGTGAATCTAGACCCAGATCTTATACTCTTCACAAAAATTAACTCAAAATGGATCACAGACCTAAATGTAAAATGCAGAACCATAAACTTGTAGAAGATGGCATAGTAAAAAACCTAGATGACCCTGGAGATGATGATGACTTTTTAGATACAACACCAGAGGTACAATCAATGAAAGAAAAATTGATAAGCTGGACTTCATTTAAATTTAAAACTTGTGCTCTGCAAGAGACAATGTCAAGAGAATAAAAAGACAAGCCTGAGACTAGGAGGAAATATTTGCAAAAGACCTATCTGGAAAGGAACCGTTATCCAAAATACACAAAGGACTCTTCAAATTCACCAATAAGAAAACAAATAGCCTAATTAAAAGATTCCCAGAAGACCTGAAAAGACACCCCACCAAAGAAGATATAAAAAATGGAAAGTTAGCATATGAAAACTCATTCAAAAGCATGTGTCCTGGGGAAATGCAAAATAAAGCAACAAAGAGATAGCACCACACAACTCCACTAGCATGATCAAATTCCCAAACACTGAGGATGCAGAATGCCTGGGAGGTTGCAGATCTCCTTCCCTGCTGGTGGAAATGCAAAACAGGACAGTCACTCTGGAAGACAGCGTGACAGTTTCTTCCAAAACTTAAATATACTCTTACCGTAAGATCCCTGGTAGTTACCCAAAGGAGTTGAAAACTAATGTCCACACAAAACCCGCACAAGGATGTTTACAGCAGCTTCACTCATAATTGCCAAAACCTAGAGGCAACCAAGATGTCCTTCAGTAGCTACACCCAGGTAATGGAATATTATTCTGCACTAAAGTGAGATGAGATACCAGGCCACGAAAAGACATGGCTTCCATGTCCTAAAGAGGAAATTTAAATGCATATTACTACGTAAGAGCAGCCAATCTGAAGAGACGACAGACTGTATGATTCCAACTGTGTGCATTCTAGAAAAAGCAAAACCATGGAAGCAGCGGAAAGATCGGTTGTTGCCTCGGAGTAGGGGAAGGAGCAGATGAATAAGGGCTTGCCCCAAGTAAAACTTAGTGTCAACCATGGAGTTTGGGTGATAATGATATGCTGATTGTAAGAAATGTTCCACTCTGGTGTGGAATGTTGACAGTGGGGGAGGCTGGATGTGCGGGGTGCAAGGAGTTCATTGGACTCTGTACCTTCTGCTCAGTTTTGCTGTGAACTAAAAACTGCCCTAAAATATAACACATTAATTTTTTAGAAAAAATTAGAATGATTAGAGTAGAGCATGCTCTGAGACTGCCCTCTTGGGGTCATATGTGAAAACAAACCTCCTCAAATAAGGAAAGACCAGATTGGAGGGTTTAGTAGGGGTCTACTTACTACCTACCACACCCTGGCACCTGCATCTTATATGAAGAAACTCTGCAAGGAAGAACAGGGTACCAAAGAAGCTCTGTCAACTAAAAACATGGATTGAAACAAAGAAAAACCACTCAGCTTTCAGAAATACTATTTTCCTTGATGAGATTTGCTTATCAAGAGCTATCAGATAACTGCCACGATTTGAAAAGGCTTTCAAATAAATAAATGGGCCCTTGCAGAGGATACATTTTTTTTTTTATTCTATTAGCCTCGATTTTAAAACAAAAACAACCTCTGGGGCAGCCCAGGTGGCTCAGAGGTTTAGCGCTGCCTTCGGCCCCGGGCATGATCCTGGAGACCCAGGATCGAGTCCCACGTCGGGCTCCCTGCATGGAGCCTGCTTCTCCCTGCCTGTGTCTCTGCCTCTCTCTCTGTGTCTCTCATGAATAAATAAATAAAATCTTTAAAAAAAAAAAACAACTCAAAAGTGTCCTAAGCCATAAAAGTGGGGACACAAAAAGACATTCGTATACTCCTGTTCAAAAAACCATTATTCAACATAGTCAAAAGGTAGAAACAACCTAAGTTGACAAATGGAAGAGATGTATTTGCTTATCTGGAACAAATCTATTTGGAATAATTTATTTGGAATACTCAGCTCAAAACACAGAGGACCCGGACATATGCTGTAAGATGACGTACTATGAAGACATGATACGTGAACTAAGCCCGTCACAAAAGAACAAATACTCCAGGTCACACGAGGAAATGTGTGAGGGAAATCCTGCATCGTAGTTGACTTAGAGTCATCGCATTCATGGAGACAAAAGGTGGAGACAAATGGTGATTGCCTGGGCCTGGGAGGGGGGGAAGAATAGGACATTTTTGTCGAACGGCTACGGAGTTTCAGTTTTGCAAAATGAAAAAGTCGTGTGGAGGGGTGGTGATGATGACTGCACCACACCAGGAATGCACTGAAGGCCCCTGAATTGTACACTCACAAATGGTACATTGTAGGTTATGTATATTTTACCAAAATTTTTTAAGAAGAAATCATTTTTTTTTAGGAGCATTTCAACTCATGTGGGATTATCAAGAAGCTTTATTTAAAGAAATGGTTCGTGTTTTGGGTTCCATGATCCTTAGAGACTGAAGAGATGAATGAGGCGTGATTAACGAACACGTCTGAAAACAGCTAAGTTTCACACAAATATACAGATTTTATTGGCACATGATAATTTCTTACAGTAATAAATAGAATGCAGTCTTAACAGTTTAGTCTGGAGTTGGGAAGGCATGTGTCCTTGAGAGAAGCGGTCGGATTTTGTGGTACCATTTGCTAAGAGGGAACCTGTGTGCTGGCAGGGAATCAAAGGAGCAAATCTTTGTGAACCCTAAGGCTTCTCTCTATGCCATCAAGGTGATTAGTAACCCCTGGTTGATATCCTCCCCCCCACCCCCCGTTTTTTCCCTTTAGTTTTAACACATCATAAAAATAGCTAGTGCCATAAAAAGCCAACATTTCAAATATAAAGTTGTTTCAATACAAATATAATTCCTAATACAATCATCTTAAAATACAGCCATTTGTGAGTTTGAAGTAGTATTAAAATAAATATTTCCTAGAGAAAATTTTATTTGCATCACAAAAACTATAAAAACAGAAGCATATAAAGTGAACCGACGGTCCCCCGTGCATCCCGTAATCCCTCCCAGCCAGGCTCCACGGTAGGACAGGCCTGGAGCTGGGCAGAAACTGCGCGACATAACCCTACATGGACCTGCGTCCTCGGAGCTCCGTATTTCCACCCGCCTGCTTCCATGCCCTCCTCCCAGAGCTCCCGGGGGAGGAGGGTCTCCTGTGCCACTTCCCACTAAAGCATGTTTGTCTCAACGTCTTTCTGTCCCAAGCTCTTAAGAGCCTGTTACTTTCTGGAAGCTGGGGAACGTCAGGTCAACCTCTTCACCAAGGGAGTCACCCTGCCCCCTCCCCGGGAAGGGGCGCATTCTCATGGGCTGGATTGCTTGCTTTGGGTGGAGTGGTGAGTGGTACAAACGGGGGGTTCCCTCAGACTCCTGACCGGTACCCTGTGTTGCACGTGGCCTCAGGCCAGCTGACTCGGGGCCTCTAGCACGTGCCCCCCAGTGGAACAGCCGGGATGCCTCCCAGGGGATGGAGTCATGTTGTGGGCCATGTCAGGGAGGGCAGGGGAAAGGGGCAGGAAGGTCTCCGCACCAGCCAGGCTCCCAGGGGCCTTCCTTTAATCGAGGCTCCCGGTAGTGGGCCGCGTCCCCCTCTGGGCCACAGGGTGCACGTGTCCCCAAGCAGCAGGCCCAGCAGCTCAGCGGGCTGACCCCCACAGCCGCCCTCCCATCGCTTCCCAGAGGAAAGGCTTTCCTGGGAGCTCGGCCTCGTGCGCCCACGTGGCAAATCTTCAAGGGTCTGAAGTCCCTGTCACACAATTTGACCACTGCCCAGAAGTCACTTATCCAGATCCAGCTGAGTGTCCTTAATTCCCCTTATCAAGATTTTTTTTTCCTTTTAAAAATACACGACTCGTCCTTGGTTTCCGAAGTCGAACCCACGTCCTCCTCCACCTTGATGAGCGAAGCCCCCCGCAAAGATCCGGGGCGCCCTAAAGCCTTGTGTCCTGCACCTCGTCTTCCGTCTCCTCCTTCAGGGCCGCGATCCTGGAAGGGGACCTCTGCCGGCTGGAGAGCCGGTGCGGGAGGAGGCTGGGCCGCTCGGGGGGCCCGATGGCCTGCCGGAAGACGCTCCTCTCGCTCAGCAGCCTCTGGATGGACTCGAACTGCCGCAGCCTGCTGTCCTCGATGACCTAGGGGGGGCGGCCGTTAGTGCGTCCCAGGGCCCAGGGTGCCCTCAGCCCGGTCCCCGGGGCCTCTGGCCTCCTGGGGCTCCTCCATGTGCTAAAGGGGCTCTAGCCTTCTTTTTCTTTTTTTAAAGATTTACTTATTTATTCATGAGAGACACACAGAGAGAGGCAGAGACCCAGGCAGAGGGAGAAGCAGGCTCCATGCAGGGAGCCCGACATGGGACCCGATCCCGGGACCCCAGGATCACACCCGGGCCCAAGGCGGGCTTCAAACCACTGGGCCACCCAGGGGTCCCGGGCTCTAACTTTCTACTTGGCCTCTGGAAGACCAGAATTCCTTTCTTAATGGTAGAGGCGTGAGCCCTGTGGCTCCTCCGAGAGCCTTAAAGGAACCCCTGGGCCTGGCAGGTCAGGGTGACGTCTGACAGGGCCTCACCCACTGCCTCAAACCCAGTGTGAACACAAAGTCGAGCCTGTTCACAGCCCCCAACCATTCCAAGTGAGGCAGCGGTCAGGAGGTGCCCGGGTGACGCCTCCTGGGAGGACCGGAGGGCCTCTCGGGAGCCCCAAGGCCTGGCCCCGGCAGGGCAAGAGGTTGCGGGCCACCCCCCCCCACCCCATTTGTCACGTAAAGCTTCTAGGTAACAACAAGCCCTCAGTAAGAAAAGCGTGTCCCTCCAGGAGCCTTGAAGGCCTTAACAGGAATGACGGGACATGTCCTCCTCGGAACTTCCTTGTGACTAAACCCCTGGGAATTTGTAAACATGGCTCGAAAGGCTCTGTGACAGCTCTGCAAGCACAATGAGGAGGTGGACGGGAGAGGCGCTCACCCGAGCTCTAAGTAATGAGCAGAAGAATGAAGTGAGTCTTTCAACCACCATTAAAACCACACGTCGGCGTGCACGGCGATCCAGGCCTGCCCTGGAGCCCATCCAAGGAGACTTAGCTGTTAAAAGCATCGGGACTTAGACTCTCTTATGACTTGATCCCCAAATAAAGGGTTCAAATGTACAGATGTGTCTGTTGATTAATGTAACTCAATAACCGGCTGCTACGTTAGATTTCCTGGATCCCCGCCTCACCTCGGAGCCCAAAGGAGCGTGGCTACCCTGAGTAGAGCTGGACGGCTGCGGGACGCCTATTTGAAGGAAGCACTTGTACACTGTTGTGTTGTGATTTGCAGGAACCCCCATCTCAGCTATTGTTAACGAGAATTAAAGGAGAAGTAAGATCTTAAGCAAATTATAAGCTCACCAAGAATCGCTGACATTCCAACATCGCTTCTATCCTGTGTTCAGAGAGGATCACTGTGCAGTTTGCAAACGCTTGCTTTAGGGTTCTTCGAATGATTTGGTATGTTCTAGAAAAGGAAGAAACTGGCACATGTAACATCACAGAGTGTCAATAATCTGCCTTTACCCTTGATGACACACCTCCTGTCCTGTCAATTTAGTTCTTTAAATGACTTATCTTTCTTCAAATACTTTTGTTAACCTAGTGCTGATGCAGAGTCCGCCATCATCAGCTCTCCCACCATGGGGCAGATTCTAGGTTTCCATGAACGAATAGGACAGATGTTTTGAAGAAAGTTTTGCAAGTGAGAACATTTCATTATCATGTGGAATCATGAGAGGTTCTCTCGTGCTATGAAGATTTCTTCAGAGAGGCAGAGCATGAGTATAAGCAGGGGGGAGGAGGCAGAGGGAGAGGGAGACACAGATCCCCCACCCCCACTCCCACCGCCACGTAGGGCGCCCGACACAGGGCTCGATCCCAGGATCCCAAGATCATGACCTGAACCGAGGGGAGACAGTCGATCAAGCCATCCAGGTGCCCCTAAAAAAATTTCTTACCATATAAATGGCATAGAAAGAAAAGTCATAAGAATCAGATTATGCCTATGTAACTAAATATTTCATCATGTGTTGGCAAGGGGAGAGTCTCTACGAAATTCCAAAATCACACTCTGAAGAGAACGCAGGACTCTTATCCCAGGAAATAAGCACTCGTGCTCACGTCAAACAGTGACTTTTCTACTGGGCAATCATTTCACATCTGGGGGCTGGGGACATGACAGCCTATTGGGAATCGGTGTCAACATGAAGGAGGCGTCACAGATTCGCTCCCATTGTGTCAATAAAGAGCAGGAACTCTGAAACTCACATCGGATCCAAATGAGCACTGGGTTCATCGAGCAGCAGGATTTTCGCCTTCCTGAGGACAGATCTGGCCAAGCACATCAACTGCTTGTGGCCATGGCTTAGGACGTAACCCCCATCCACCAGGACGAAATCGAGCTTCCCGGGAAACTGCTCTATCACAGATCTGAGTCCAACCTGCAGAAAAGAAGGAGGGAAATCACCGTGCTTGGAAGGGTAGTGTAGATCCCACGAGGTGAAAGACACTCGAGAGGTGACAATCTAAAAGCCTCAAAGTCCAGATTTCACATCAACAACCCACCACTCCCGCTATCTGGGTTTGATTGAACAAGAGTCTACATAGGCTCCCGGCAGCTCTAAAGGATGAGCCCACGACTTGGTTCAGCTCTGTACTTAATTCAGGACATTTTCGACAAGTGCTTATTCTGCGCCAAGGGCTCCGCGTGGGGATTGAAAAAAAGATAAATGGCACGTGGCCCCTGCAAGGCTCAGGATCTATAAAGACATACATCGATAATTACAACACGATTGAACTCATGCTGGAAAAGACAATATGTATAAAATGCAGGTCTTTGCCATATCTCAACAGCTTCTTTTATTCTACTTTCCATTCCCTTCTCTGTCCTAACAGCATGGACAGTAACAGGAAAGAATCAATTGGGGAGCTTCTTCAATTCATAAAAACTGATAAGAAATTGATGCCACTATGAAGTAAAAAAAAAAAAAAGAGAGAATGGTGGTATATAACTAGATTTAAAGGTGCTTAGATATTGAGGTGGAATATGAGAGTTGTGTTAGGGCCAATGGCTTACGTTTTTAAGCTAGATGGAAAATAATAAGGTGAGGATGTGAACAAGATATAGAAACAAACTCTTCCAAAATAAGACACCAGTGATTGCAGTCTCGGCTCTCATCACTTCTTTGGATAAGCGTGCGTTAACGTTTCTTGTTTGCCAAACGTTGCTGAATGTTTGAGAGCCAAAGAGATAGATGGATGATTGTCCCTACTCTTGGGAAGTCTGGGATTTAGTCCTGGGAAGGAGGATATAATACTCATTGTAATACAGGCAGAATGGGATGGATAATGGCTTTAGGAAACACTCCTGGGTTCAGTGATGAATTCACAGGTGGCCCATATCACCATATTTGATCAGCAAATACCAACTGTGTGCCCGTGATACATATTGCCAATGATGCTCTTTTTCCTTGACTGGCTTCTCATTAAAGCAATCTCGCTTTGTGAGAATCCATTAATTTTGAAGAGTCTCTGAGATGGTAGGGAATGTAAACATATTAATTGGACGAGGGGGACTAGTCTGATGTGCCCTGGAAGACTCAAATGTAAAACTACTTTCAGATCCAAGGTTCTGAGATGTGAATAAAGATACCAGGTAGGAGCAAGAAGACCTGTGTTCTTTCTTTGCTTCTTCATCCTTTTGCTTTTTCTTGGCTTCAGCCTGTGAACCTGCTACGGTCTCTCCTATCACTTACCTCCGAGTTCTCCTTTAGCTCATATTCCATATCCACCTCCTTTGCACAAATCTCAAAAAAAATTAGCATGTGTTTCTTGTCTCCACTGTCTCACAACACAGAACATTTTTTTTTTTCCTTCTTTGAACACCTATTCCTTGGCTTATGAGAAGCCACAAACTCTATGGCCACTTATTATCATGTGTGGGCAGCTCTTCCTCTTTCCGTCCCTTGAATATATCTTACTCACCCCTAACTCTTTGAACTCTCCTTCTGAGAGCTCCTTTGTTCTTAGGGTGTCAACTACCATGGATAAGTGAAGGATTTTTTGAATCTTTATCCCTAGCCCTGGCCATATTCCAAATACTTCTTAAATCCTCCTCCTTGCTCACCCCATTGTGGTGGCCATCATTATTCCTTAAGCTTCCCACTGCAAATCCCAAGTGATCAGTCTGTCAAGTGACCATACAAACACCCCAGGGATGCTTCTCAAATTACAGGTTTGACCATCTCATTTCTCTCTTTGAAACTTCTTCCTTACAGAATAAAACTGAGCCTTCTCACATGACATAAAAGGCATCCAGGATGGAATCTCTGCCACCCTTGCTTCCAGCAGCACCAAACAGCTTGTAGTTCCCTATACACCTTGACGCACCCTTCTGAATGTCCCTGGTCATCCTTTAGGGCAGTCAGGCAGCTAGCCATGGTAGTATTTGTGGAAATTTAGCCATGGTAGTATTTGTGGAAGTTTCCCCTGTTAGACTGATTTTTGAGGGTAAAAACACACGCCCGAGTGCCAATATTGGGTGCGCCGTCAGCTTTGACACATTCGTCCATTTGTTCAACAAATAAGTACTGAGCCCCTAGAATGCTGGCCAGAAGAAACCCAAACATGGTTTTGAAGAATTCAAAAATGAACCAAACTTAAGAGTGACAAATGAGAAGTTAACAAGTGCTGACTCTGTCCTGCCGATATAGAGCGCAACCTAAGACAGGCAACTTTGCTATCTGGGTGTTTTTCTCATCTTTAAGACTCTTTAAAATGCCTTAAACATAGAAGTATAAAATTAGAAGTTCTTTAACACCAATAAGGACTTTAAAAAAAATTTAAGTCAAATTAACCATCAGGAAAAGTACAGATTAGATGGATGTTAACAAAGCTTATTGCGGTGATCATTTCACATTGTATACAGTTATCCAATCATGACATTGCACACTTGAAACTAATACAGCTATATGTCAATTATACTTTTTTTTGTCAATTATACTTTAATTAAAAGTAAAAGTGCTGATTAAAGGTTGGAGTTCTGAAGTCAGACAAAAGGGGCTCTTTTGCACTTTCACCTCTGCACTTCTCCTCTCCTGGGCTCACGATATCAGATGTGTTACTGTAAGTCTCACTTACCTCACTTGAAAAAAATGGGGAAAATAATAGTATGGACTTCAAAGGACTATACTTGGGGATTAAGTGAGTTAATTTCTGGAAAGATGTTGCCACATAGAGAGGTGCATGGTAAGCACCTAATCCATCCTAACTACTAGTAGAACTTGGGAAATCCCAAGGACATGGGCCTGGTCACTGAGACACTACCCTGGTATGACAAGATTTGTAAGATTTTTGCCTTCACAAATTGCCTTGCAGAGGACATTAGGAGGAAGCACTGCAACACTACTAATTTATATCACACCTCTAATAACGAGCTTGAGATATTGGTAAAATGTAATGGCACATACAATGTTCTCCCTCTAGATCCACACCGATCACACAATAATTTCCCTAGCCACCATACTATATTATATTTTTTGTGTGTTTTTTCCCAGATGAAAACTATTTCTTAAGAAAATAATTAAGTACCTAAATATTTATCACTGTCCATATTTGGAGAACAAAATTATAAGAAATAAATGACAGTGAGATAGAACAACCTAGGGTCTATTTTGCAACATTCCTATCTTACTGTTTTACTCACTATTAAGTATAGTAAAAAAAAATCACATTCACTGGAGAAAGATCAACATGAGTTAGCAAAGCTTTAAGTTTTGAAGTAAGTAAATATTTGACAAATTGATCAATTGCCTATTTTCTGCCAGATGTTGTGATAGGTTTTGGAGAGACAGTGGGAGGCCAGACAGTCTAATGAATGTTTTTGGAAAGTTACAAAGTTATTACCATAACTCTATGTGTAACCAACTTTATATGCTGGTAAGAACAGCTTAAATTAACCTAATGATTATTTGAATGTAAATGACTGCTCAGTGCTCAGTCACACAGTCTTTAATAGATTCTTAATGAGGGTTTATTAAATTCTAGGTACTATGGCAGACTTGGGGATTCAAAGATGAATAACACTAGGCCCTGTCTTGAAGAAACTCACAGTCCAGGTGGGGAGAAAAATAATAAGTGAGAAATTACTGTTCATAGGGCTGTGAGAAAAGAAAAAAAAAAGATTGAAAAGCTAATTGCCACAGAGATAATCTAATTTAGTAGCTTAATAGCAGAATTCTTTATATATTAACATATACACATTTATATATATATCTGTTCCTGATATAATGTTAGTTACATATATCACAAATTATTTTTCAGTAGTTTAAAATAAATATAAATTTTAGCTTACCTCTGTCCAAATTAAGATAAATTAAAATCTAGAATCCAAACACTTCTTATTATTTTTATTCCAACTTAGCATGAAAAACACATAAAAGTATCATCACCAGTTTGTGGATATAAACAACTTTACAACAAAAGACTTTGCCAGCTTTATGCGGTTGAGCTGAAAAAATCATGTATTTACAAGGAAAAAATTTTGTCTTGTGACATATCAGGCTAAACAAAATGTATTATGGTCTGTAAAGGACCAGATATTTTCTTCAAAATGTTGACTCTTGCTATTGCCACACTCTGGAATGTTATTATGGGGCAAGAGTTTGCCCTTGTGACAAGAAAACATGGGGGGAAAAAAAACAGAAAAGTGAATTGCCGTTGGACTGAATAGTCCATTAGCAGGTAGTTATAAAAATAGACACTCTCAACTCCTTTAAGCACTGCTTCTGCTGCTCTGCAGGTTTTCCAGGGCAGATTTTCCACTTAAAAGGCCACTGTCTCCTATGTAACTTGCTCTTTAAAATATCTAGCTATCAATGTGTTAGGAAGGGAACTATTTTATAAGTTATCTAAAAAGCAAACAGTTACCAAAAAGCCCTTGTTCTAAAACCAACAGGCTGCTTCAGCCACAGACAACTAAGAAAGCTCATGGCGGCAAGAGCCAGTGAACCCGAAGTCTAAGGATGCGGCCATGCAGCATCCACCAAGCCCCTCAGACTTCTCAAGGCTCAGCGTGCTCGTTGCTAATGGCAACACCTGTTGTGTACCAATCACAAGGTTATCTTCGAGATGGATCACAGGCAAATCATCTGTTTATTCATCTAAACAAATGAATCTAATCCTTCATTTAAAAAACCGAATGAAGCCATTCATTTGTTCATTTGATCAACCAATATTTACTGACCACCATCCACATCCCGACACTACCGTAAGCCCTGGAAATACTGCAGTGAATGGGACACCCCCTCTGCCCTCAAGGGATTTACAGTCTGATGGGGAAGGTGGACAAGGTCAGAGGTGAGTCTATCCAGGGAGAAGAATGCTATGAAAGGGCTGAGGGTATAGGACACACCTAGGAGGGGTTCCTCCCTCAGGACTGGAGCCTCAGGGCAGGTTGCTAGAAGTGATATGGGAAGAAAAGACCTGAATAATGAGCAGGGGCTGGTGGGATTTCCCAGGTACAGAGAACAGCAGGAGAAAAAAAAAAAAAAAAAAAAAACCTCTGGACATCAGAGAGCACATGCTTTAGAAGCTGCTTTAGAGGCTGGATCGTGGTAAGCAAGGGGAGACTGGGGCATGAGTTTAGAAAGGCGAGCAAAGATCAAATCATGAAGGACCTTGGAAACCACCTTAACCAGGGTGGACTTTGTCTAAAGGATGACAAAGAAGCAGAAGAAGGGGAGAAACAAGTGATCAGATACAGGGTTAAGAAAGATCACCAGAGCCACAAAGAGCAGAATGAACTGTAGGAAGCCAATGGGAGGGAAATCAGTGAGGAGTCTGTTTCAAACTCCCCCATGAGAGTTAAGAGTGGTGTCAGATGGGGATGGGAACATTCTAGATATTTGCAGGAAGTGGCATTAATTGGACTTGATAGGTGGGGAGAGGTGAAGAAGTCGGGAATCAAGAGTTAAGTCCCAGGTCTTGGCTTTGGGCACCTAGAAGGTGCTGGTGCCATTTGTTGAATTAGGAACACAGGACAGGTGTGCGCACTGGGGCAGAAAAAGTCACTATGGAGACAAGGGGCTCGTCCGCGCAGAGGTGTCAGGCAGGGAGCCGACTGGCAGATTTGGGAGTCTCAGCATAGTGGCATTAGTTCGAGCCAAGAGGTAAATTTCCCAGAAAGAATAAGTAAAATAAGACTATTATAAGGATTCTGTGAAACATCAACATTTGAAGGATGGCCAGGTGAAGACCAGATGGAAACAGGATCATACTAGCCAAGAGTCACTTAATACCTATTATTTGCCAGGCCCTGGGCTTGTCCGTAACGTGTATGCCTCAAAGGTCACAACAACCTTAGCAATCTATTGAGCCACAGTGTTAGGGGTCTATTATTATTTTTTTTCCAGTCTCTTGAAATTCCCTTGGTCTACACAACTGATAGAGTCAGTGCTCCTGGGGAGAAGCTATCTGGCTCAGAGTCATCTGGGGACGGGAAAATGAGACCATCTCAGTCCAAGGTCTTAGATAGACACCCTCTTTCCCTACTTTGGACCCACACGTGCTTTAACTTCACCCATAGAATGATGAGGCTCAGCGTGCGGAGATGAACGTGGGCCATTTACATTTAGCCTTAGAACCAGTAACTAGGCACGATCCTCATGGCCTCACGAAACCTAGTCCACATCAACAAGAACAAAGTTTCGTGCTGGAGCGTGGGGACAATTGCGAGGTAGGAACGAAGTGTTTCTTGGCCTGGTGGCGTCATCGTGTGTACTTCTGATTTTCACTTGGGGGAAAGCGGAATTACGAAGGAGGCGCTATTGAGATAAGAGTCAGGTGTTTGGCTAATCTGCTGTTACTCAGCTCATGTCTCTCTATTGACACAAGTCATACCGAGGTCACAGAGAGGACTGGATGAGATGCCATACGTCCCGGTTTGCCCTGGACAGTACCGGTTTATGCCCTTGGTCCCAGTATCCTGTCCAGTTTAGAAACTGACACACCCCAAAATGTTCCTGTTTGGATAAATTGTATGACCAACCACGTGGACAAAAGCCCAGGACTTGTAACTCTTTAAACCAATGATTTTCTGCCTCTCTGCTCCTCTGGACTGTTGCTTATGTGTGTGCTACCTTTGGGCCTCCTCAACAGAAAGTTATCATCACTACTCAAAGCACATGACGTGAACGTAAGGACAGCATCATCATCTTGGTTTATGAATGACAAAGCATTTCTTAAAGTAGGTAAAAAAAAAAAAAAGAGCCAAATATGAGTTTATCAAATGAGTATCTAGACAGGTAATATGTATGCACTATACTGGTGTTTAAATTTTTAACCGTGTCTTCTAAAATTTTAGGTTTTTATGATCTTGACTTCCTGTAAATTTGATTGTGACTTGGCAACAGTTGCTGATTTTATAAAGTCTAATGTCTTCCTCCCCAGGTCCTGCCCCACCACACCGTGTTCCTATAGCTCATTCTCTGAAGTCACATCAAAGATCTCCAAATGTGCCACTTGCAATTTAGTTAATGTTTTCTTTAAAACTTCTGTTTGTTGGGTAATAAGGAAACTTTGATAATAAAAATAGCTAATCTAAGTGTATTTTATGAGGGGCATATTAAGGTTGGGCACTCAGGGGGTAAGTGTTTCACCCTCACAAGCATGTCAAAGCTCCTGGCAAGATCCAGTCCACAGGGTGGGAAGAACGTTCGGGAAAAACAGAATTGGGCCAAACTATGGGAAATAGTGGAATAAAGTTGTTCTCTAAGAAGACCTTTGAATCTCAATGTTCTTAGGTCCCATAATTATAGTCTGCCCCTAACTAGGGCTTTGGATGTAAGCCTCAAATGTAATGAAATAGAACAGTTTATGTTCTCCTTTCCTTCCATATAATGCTTCCATGTCCAAGAACGATCACCTTACAGCTGGGGTATTCTGTTAAGGAAACCAAGAATTTTGCTCCCAGCACTCTAAATTCTTCTACTTGATGCTTTCAACTATAATGAACCACCCTAATGGGTAAATACAAAGTATTATTCGGTAATTTTGATTCCATTTTAATCCGCATATTTCCTATATGGTCCTACCAACCTCAAGGAATGGAGCATGCCATGGGACTCTCTGCCTAGAAAGGTTCACAGCCACATCCCCTGAAAGCAGCTGACTTCTGGTGACTTCCAGAGAAGACCGCGGCCTTTTGCAGGTGCTCTAGAGGGATCGTCATTTCTCTGAGCTAAACCCATGCTTCCTAGAGAAGTGTTCCATGTTGTGCCAAAACTTCTCCTAGTGCTGAGAATGCTTCAGGACCCAGACAGAGAGGGTGGGCGAGAAGGTGCGGAGAGATGGTCCTTGGAATCACAAACGATCCTGGAGCCCTTTAAAGTTCCTGGGTCTGCCCCTGATGGACACTGAGGAAGAAGGCAGTGCTGCCTCTGGGGTCTAAGAGCTGAAGACTGAACACAGAGAAAGGGTAGGTCTAGTCCAAAGTAGTGGGGGCTCCAAGTGTGTTAGTATTCTCCACTTCAAGGTTGTACACACACATATGTGCACGAAGTAAGTGTGTAAGTGATCTCGGTTATGACAACCACGTGTGTGTGTGTGTGGTTGAGCTATCTTTTCCAGAATTACTTCAGTTGGCAACCTTACCTCATCCGCAACTTTCCATATTTCTTGATCATTCCACTGTCCATAGGGATCCAAGTTTTTTCTAAATGTTCCAGAGAATATAAATACTTTCTATAGCAATAAAGAAAAAGAGGAAAGTATGAATAACCTAAACACCTTCGTATGTTTCCATTATTGTATTGCAAAATACTTGAAGCAGAAAAAAAAATACTTTAAAACAACAACAAATAGCCATGTACTTACCATCTAGTTTTCTTAAATTTTATTTTATTTTTTAGATTTTTTTTTTTTTTACTTGCAAGAGAGAAAGAGAGCATGTGCAGGGGGCAAGAGGGAGGGACAGAGGGAGAGCAAGAGTCTTCAGGAGACTACGGAGCCCAACGTGGGGCTCGATCTTAAGACCCTGGGATCATGACCTGAGCCGAAACAAAGAGTTGGATGCTTAACCCACTGTGCCACCCAGAAACCCCTGGTTTTCTTAAATTTTAAAAATTTACCATAGTTGTTTTGTGTCTTCTTTAAAGAAATAAAACATCCCAGCTACATTGGAAGCCCCCTGTGAACACTTATCTAGTCCCAATATCCTTAGGAGAAGGAAACTAAGATCATTGTAAGTTGTGGGAAATTACAATTTTGTTTTATTCTTAGCACTTTTCCTTACTAAGAGTAAATACAGCATAAAATCAGTTAAACAGTGTATGCTTATGAGTTATAATTTACTTGTTAGAACAAATTCCTATTTTATCCATATATTTTCCTTGGATTCCTTTGATGAGTCTAGCTTCCTAGAGGATTTTGCAATTGTTTGAATTTATGGACTCTATTTAAACATACATGTTCATCTGGTCTATAAACCAAGGCACATCTCTACTTGTACAACCAGGAGAAAGCCACAACTTAGAAATCAGTGAAAAAAAAATGGAAATCAAGTATTTGTTTAGGTGAGTGCACGTAACAGAGGAGGTGGATCCCACTGAGATGATGGGATGACCAGGTGATGCCCTGCAAGGAGTACTGCACAGCTGTCACCCTGAGACACCCTCCTTGCCATATCGCGGTTACTGAGGTCTGCTCGTGTGGCTATAAATATTTTTTAAAAGAAAACCACTCTCACTGCGAAGTGCTGATGACACAATAATACTAATATTGCGTCCTTTCCTTGTACATATGAGCGAACTGCAAAGTACTTTTGATGTTAACATTCAGGATAATATTTTCTTTGCCTTTTTTCTTTTGCCTTTGATTATATCCACTGAAGAGAATTAAGGACTACATTTTTTGAAGTTCTTAGTTTCCACAAATTGCCTTAGCCAGAGAGAAAGCTCAGCATCCATCTGATCCGTAAGGAACTGCACAAGACAGGAGGGTCCCAGATTAACCGTCTCTGTGGCTCTTGCGCAGAACCAGGGTATCCTCACCGTGGCGGTAAGATCCAAAGAGGGTCACATTAAAGACTTCAATCCCTAGGGAGTGTCTTACGGCTTAAATAATCAAGTTACACCAAAAATCTCAGGAACACTCTAGAGAGGGCAACAGGAAGACTTATACTGGTATTTCTTAACCTGCAACAACATCATCTTCCTAGGGGCGCCTGGGTGGCTCAGTGGGTTAAGTGTCCGACTCTTGATTTCTGCTCAGGTCATGATCTCCAGGTCGTGAGGATCGAGCCCCACCTCAGCTCTGTGCTGGGCATGGAGCCTGCTTGGGATTCTCTCTCTCCCTCTCTCTCTGCCCCTCCCTACTTCCCCCACTTTCTTGTGCTCCTGTGCTCCCTCTCTTACTCCTAAAAAGAAAAAAATCATCTTCCTTAGGGGAACTTATATTTCTTTACGGAGGCGGATATAAGGGATGAATATATGACTCCTAAGATGATGGATATATTTGTGCATCTTCCTCCAAGCTTCTCAGGAAATGGAAGTAATGTCCAAAGAATCCACTGGGCATCAAGCATCTGGAACACAGAGCTTCACTTTATGGCACCTTTACCATAGGCCAGGTATGGCCCTTTACACGCATTATCTCTTTTCAACTTCCAATCAGCCTAATGGAATAAATCCTATTATGGGATACAAGGATCTCACAGCTGGGGGAGGTTAAGTGACTTTTCTACCAGCACTCAGCTGGCGGATAGCAGAGCTGGAATTCAAGCCCAGGGGTGTCTGTTCCAAGTATGTGCACAATGTCTCCAGTCCTGCGCAAGCTAGTTTTCACCTCTGATCTGGAGCTCAGGAATGAATAAGGTTGTGTAGAAGCAGCCCAGTGGGCCTAGAAAGGGGCCGATCAGTGCTCAGCGGCACAGTCTTGGCGTGAGCATCACTAGCCATACCCTGGCTACAGGCTCAGCTCCTACACCATGAAGGGAGCGCTTGGCTTCATCCCCCCAGGCAGCACCTGAGTGGAAGGGTTTTTATATGGGCTACAGTGTCTTTGTAACCTTCAAGGACATTTACCCAACCCCTGGAACAGAACAACAGGGAATTTTAATTTGATCCAATAGAATAATGTCATTATTCTGGAGGACGCTGGGGGGAAGCCAAAGGTATCATAACAACAAAGCAGCCACAGAAGGAATTAAAGGTAATGGGGCTCACCGAGATGCTGTGACCATGCAGCTCTGGCCAGGAGGTTGACCTGCAAACAGGAGCCTCAGTGTTCTCATGGTAAAATGGGGAAATGCCTTTCCTCTCAAACCTGCTCTACCTATAGGCCTTCCCATTTTGATAAGTGCATGGCAACTTCACTTCCTCAATCCAGAGGTCTTCTTTCTCCTGGATCCTCCCTTCGATGAGAAAGAAAGAGGCCTTCTTTCTCTCTCATCATCCTCCTGATGATGGAATCAATCATCAGTCCTGTGGATTTTCCCCTCAGATGTATCTCAAACCCAGTTATTTCTCCATCCCTACTGCCACCACATAGTTCAAAACGCCAATGTGGCTCTCTGGAACAGTTAGGAACCTCTAATTGACATCCGTCTTCTCACTCTTGCCTCCCTTCCAGTCTATTTTTAGTTAGCAACCAATGCAACTGCTACACATATAAGTTGGATTGTCCTCAATCTTTAAAAACCTTTGGCTTTCCATAACACTCAAGGCAAAATGTAAAATCCTGAAGATGGCCTGCAGAGCCTACGTGATTTAGCACCTTGTATCTCTTCTGGCTCATTTAGCACCTTGCTCTATACCTTCCCTTTTTCCACCACAGCCACGTGGCTTTATTTCACTTCTTCAGTTTTTTATACATTCTAAGAATCTCAGCCTGGACATTCTTCCCATGGCCAGTCTTTAAGGAAATAATACTAACTATCCATTAAAACTTTGATCTTAAAAAAATAAAAAATAAATAAATAAATAAAACTTTGATCTTTTTACATCATCTTTGGGAAATGGTATGCCTCATTTTATCTCATTGTAGTTTAATAATTTACATATAATACTTGTCAAGTGTATGGCAATATGTTATATGTTCATTTTATTTGAAATAGATATATATTCAAAATTGTGAAGGAAGGAAGCTGTGGAAATTAGACATCCCGTAGCCTCAGATGTAGTGGATTTGATCCCACTCAGAAACTCTGTAGGCCTATTGTTTATACTTTATTTCTAGCATTAAAGTAATGTTTAATTTTAATTATAAAAAATTGACTGGACTTGTTCAGCTCGAATTAAATTTCACACAATTAACTAAACATTTCATTCCTGTCTTATAAATAGTATCTCTTCCTTTCAGAAGTGCCAGCAGGTGTCTCGGTTCTGTTTTCCAAACTGTTTGAAGTTTCCACAAAGGCATCTCTAAAGCTGAAAGGTCCCTGCAGGTCACCTATGTCCTTTTCCCAGGTTTACAAATGAAAACAGCCAAGGCCCAGAGAAGTTATGTGGCTTGGCCAAGGTGACACAGTCAGATGGATTATACAGCAAAAAATACACCTGAAACTAAAAATCACAATGATCCTCTAAGAAACTGGTCACCAATAGGAAAACGAGGATGTGCAAATATTTGATATTTATTTAATGTCATGGACGTATGGCATAAAGAGCAATTCTTGGGACTCCAGGAAGAATAAAGAGAGCACCATTGTTCACCAGCTGACTAATCTCTTTCCTGAAGCTGATTCCTCAACTTCTAAACTCAGTGAAGGTGGCCGAGCCTCTGTGGGGTGCTCAGAGCTGTATGCTTATAATGCTGTTTTGTTTTGGTCAGAAGGGAAATATATATATATATATTCAAGTTCACATACAGTTCTGTTAAAATGTGGCCCCACTGCTTAGAAGCATCACAGTGGCTCTGATCCTACCTTCTGACAATGTCTGCAAAATTTTATTATAAGTTGAATGTGTACAATAGAAATCTATCCAATTCCCACAAATCAAGATTCTAAGGTTGCATTATAGAATGTCTAAAAAATAAGCGTTGTTTGGCTCTGAAGAATATCTATTAAATGAGAACAAGGTAAACAAAGTATTAGACAAAAATGTTTAAGATTTAGAATAGAGGGGAAAAAAAAGATTTAGAATAGAGGATAATCTTACCATGTTAATGTACATATAATTTACTTATGTGTAAATGAGTGCACGTAAGATGTTCAGATATTTGTTTCCTGGAAAGTCATCTAATGTTTCTCGACCTTTTGTACTACAACTTTCCAGTATACACTTGTTGAGAGAGAGCATTTTTAAAAATGATTTTCAGATCAGACAAAATTGTTAAAATTTTCAGCTCAGAAATAGTGGTTGTGTCATACTAATATCCACACTAGTTATTCTGCTCTTCTCCCTTTTTTTTTCTTTTTTTTTCCAAGCAAACTCTACTCCCCACCCTCCCCCCGCAATGTGGGGCTCAAACTCACGAGCCTGAGGTCAAGAGCCACAGGATCTACCCAGTGAGCCAGGCAGGCATCCCTTCTCTTTTCCCTTGAGTTTGGCACCCTGCCCTCACTGTGGTCTTCACTATTGTCCAGGACTGTACCACGTGACAACTGGAGAGTTTCTCAGCCCTACTTCCTGCCTCTCCAGCGCCTTTCTGGAAGTCCTCCCTGCACAGGCAGCAGGCGCTTCCAGTACCCTTTCACCATCCTCTTCCTGGCCCAGCAAGAGTGAACTCATTCCCCACTGGGGTGTATCAGTACTTACCAGGTCTTTCCCCCTTTCCCCTAATACTCCTTAACACGTGGCCTCCCCTGTCCTTTGTGCCCCAACTCTTTCTAATCCCCTTCTCTGTACTTGTTCATAATATCCCAGTCTGTCTGGGATCCTGGAATATGCTTTCCACAACACCCTGCCCCCAACCTTTCCAAAACCTACAAATGCTGTGACCCATTATGACCCACCTTAATTCCCACCTGCTCTGTGAAAGGGCCCGTACTCATCTGTTCATAGCGGTGGGAGGAGAAAAGAGGGAGGATACAGTGACAGTGACCTGCTAGAGCAGCTACAGCAGGGCTGACGGCTGTACTCACCCTCGTAATTACCCACAATGACCCCTGAGCAGACCCATGCCTCGACTCATGACTAGGTATAATTAACTATCCTTGGTAACCAAAACGGTAATTTTGGTTTCTTCTTCTACTCTCTGACGTCAGTTTTGAACTTCTCATTGGAAGCTCATAGGTGGGATGGAGACCTCAATGCCTTTTACATAACTATAGAATCTATAGCATATAGAATGATAGTATGCTCTAATTTTAAGCATATAGGAGTTTCACAACTAATTATGAAATCATTATTATTACACTGAATGAGAACTGAGGCACTCCCAATTCCATTGCTTGAATCTACAGATCAGTGTCTTGGCCCTATTGATGCCCTTCACAGCAAAAGTCATTCCAACCCTGTGGTGGAATCATATGCGGGCATGGGTTATTTCCAGGTCATAAGGTCTCATTCCAAGTATAGACCTAATCATTTACTTAAAACAGCTTGCAGCCTTTCAAAGTCATAATTGAAGTTCTACAAATATGCTTAAAAATTGTTTTTCTGGGGACACCTGGGTGGCTCACTGCTTGAGCACCTGCCTTTGGCTCAGGTCATGATCCCAGGGTCCTGGGATCAATCCCACATTGGGCCCCCTGCAGGGAGCCTGCTTCTCCCTCTGCCTATGTCTCTGCCAATCTCTGTGTGTCTTTCATGAATAAATAAAATCCTAAAAAAAATTTTTTTTTTGTCCTTCAATAATAAAGTGCTTAACAAAGTTCAAGGCTAATAAACAATGTCTAGTCTTGATGTCCGAATTGCCTAAGGCAATGGGAGTCTGACTATAGGCTGTCCTGCCTCCTCTCCATGCCCTCAGACCGAGGTCACAGTTAAGTGGGACAAGTTAAAGAAGGCTCCACCTTGAAATGTACATCGTACCCTTTTCTCCAGACTGGTGCATTCTCCAAGATTGCTTTCCAGCTGTAGGAGAGAATGCACGCACGCACACGTGTGCGCACACACACAAACACAGACACGCGGAGCAAGAACTTGCCAAAACTAATGACATCTTGTGATGCCACAACTGATGCCTCAGGATCACTATGAGGGAGAGAAAAAGTTTTTTGTTCAAAGTTCTGTTTGGTCTGTTCCTGTTTCGTGTGTCTAAAAACAAGGAACTAACTGACCCAGACCTATCTCATGTTTCCATGTCAGAGATGCCCTTGCAAGGTCAGAAGGATGGAAGGGAGAGAGATGGAAAAGCAAACAAAATACAGTTCTTGGATTTTTAACCCTTTCTTCCTTCTTTCTTTCTTTTTTTTTTTAAGATCAAACTCCAGGCAAAGAAGAAAACATTTTACTTAATTTGAACTTCTCAAGAAAAGTTAGGAAAATAAAAGCATCTCCTACTTAGGATATTAAAAAGGCACAAGGAGTTTGCCCTCTCTTCTTCGAGCATTCACTTAATATTCTTAAGATGTCACTGGAGAAAAAGCCCTATATCCTATCTACAGATGTCCCTGTGATACGAGGAGACAGTCTCAGAAACCAGCGTCATAAAAACATAAAATGAGATGCATCTATATTAGCATGATCACGCATTTTTGAAGGCACATATCAAAGTACGTCTTGTTTAGTTTGTATAATTTTATGATGTTTGAAGCCACAGAAGAGGGAAAATGAAATAAAGGCAGGTTTGGGAGATTTACTTCAGCAGAAAGGCAAGACACAGAATTTCCATGACTGGTTCATTTGGTTTTTCTCCGGGTCTTGCATTTAGGTTCCTTAAATAGAACATCTAATTTTTAAAAAATCTATCACAGGCAGATAAACTCAAGGATTCCCAGTGAAATTATTTTTTAAAGCTGTACTTGTGATCATGCATAGATTGGTGTGAATAATAATAACAAAAAAACCCAAAAGCTTCACTACTTGCAGTTAAAACTGGGGCCGGGAGACTTAGAGTCAAATGAACAGCAACGCTTCTTGGACAACCAGACACCCAGATTCTATTCTGTGTTCGTCAACATTGTTATCTTGCCTAAGGCTATCACCTCGGGATACTTGTATTCTCAGTGTTTCTTTATCTTTAGACCATCTGACAATCTTTTTTTATCTTTCTGAAAAACAAAACTGTTTTTCAAAAGTTCTACCAGGATTAAGCTTCTGGCAATATGGCAAAGTCTAGACAAAAAAAATTAAAAGCATCAATCTAGCAGTTACAATATTTAGTGCCTGTTTAGGTGAAAAAAAAAGCAAATGTTCCACTACGGTAATCTATCAAGAAATACAAGCTTTTTTCTCAGGCTAGATTTATGGTCAATCAATCTGGAGATGCTCCTGGCATTTTAATTTTGCGTTAAATGTAGAGAATTGTTAGAATGTGCTGGTGGAAATGGATTCAGCTCATTAGTACAAAGGGAGCAATGTGGTAGCTAAAGCCGTGAATGCGCCCACAGAGAAGAAAGCAAATGCCAGTAGAAATGCTACATGTGCCTTTCAGATTTGGCTCCAGTAAAGACATTCCTTGGTTTCCATTGAGATCATTTTAAACTGGATCTGCTATTTCTCTCATATATAAGAAATCTTCTTCTACAATGACACAGATAGAATGCTACTAAGCCAGGGAAGCTAGAGACCCTTTGTGACCCAAATCGAAGAGTGACATTAAAAAAAAAAAAAGAGGCTACAGATTAATCTGACATGATTCGTTTCATCCAAAGAACAAAAAACAGTCATTATACTTTCTATTTTCAATTCTACTACTTCATGCTTCCAAGTGTTTCTTATTTCAGCAGCATCATTTATATCTTGCAAAGCATTTCTCAACCTGCTGGGATTGCTAACTTGGAGCTCAGACCACTGAAGGAGGGGGTGAAAAAAAACACTGATTAAAAACGAAAGTCCCATCCTCCCATGTGGATTGTGTCTTCTGGGAGAGATGATCAAAACTATTAATAGTTCAATCACTGGATGGCAGAGAGTTCCAAACTTTTATAGATAGCTTTCTTTTTCCCTGTGGAAATACTGCATTGCAGAAAAAAAGAAAGCAATAAATGATAAATATACTTTACAGGGAAATGTGATTTTCTGGAATTTAAGTGTCAAATAATGGTAAAAAATAGTTATTAATTTTTCTTTCTTTTTATTTTTATTTTTTACTAAGTCTTTCTGCCTTACCTGTGGGATCACCCCAAAGGCTCTCCTCCATTCTTGCAAAGGGATTGAGTCCCAAGACACGCCATCTATTTGGATTTCTCCCTCAGTGTTCACCAGTCTCAAAAGAGCAGATAACAAAGTACTCTTCCCTGATCCAGTTCTTCCCAAGAGGCCCACCTAGAAAACAAGAGAGACAGAATTACTCCTGTGACATACAGACACCATACCACAAATGTAATCTGGCGTTATACTTCACTAAAAAACACTGGAACGGTCTTGTTTTTTTTATCGCCAGGGGGAAATTTTAACTTATTCTTTCAAACCTTTCTGTAACGCTCCAAAGTCTGGCCAATAGTGATCTGAAGCAAAACAATCCTGGAAAAAGAATATAGAAATTGGCCAGAAGGAGCTGGACTCTTAATTCTGACCCTTCATTTATCACTGACCTTTACTAATGGCATAGAGGTGAAAGATGCCCATTTTGCACCAAGGAAAACAAAGATACAATGTCTTCATGCATTTCTAAGGGTGGCCTCAAGCCAAAAGCTGGGCTCTATAAAGCTTGATCTAGTTCCTAATGCGAAGATGAGATTGAAAATTAATGAATCTGAAACAGTTGTAACATTCAGATACCGTCCATAATAAATTAGGCACCAGTTTAGGCCTGACAATAAACAAGAAAGAGTTCAGTGAGCTCTGTGTTCCCAGAGAAGCAGGCCAAGCCTTGCCACTCAGTGGATAAGCACCTGGACAGTTGTCAAATCAAATTCTTATATCTACCCTGGCTGGCAGGAAGAGAACCTGGAGAAGCAAAACGGATATTAAGGAAAAGAAAGAAAAAACAAAACCTATTCTTGTTACCAAAGAGCACAGAATGGAAGTGCCAATGCCATGTGTCACAAGGGGAGATCGGGTGCTCAGGCAGCCCATGTGGGTCCCACCTCTGTGCTCCAGGGGGGCTGCCGAGCACCCGGAGGAAGATGCTCTGAGTGGGCAGACATTCCTGCAACCATCAGCTGACCGCTGAAATATGGCTCAACACTTAGTAGCACTGAATAAATGTTTACTTCCTTCCCCTTACATGACTCCTGTTTCTCTTTTATATTTAGCTTTTTTTACAGGAGAGCTGAGATACTGGTCTTTTAGAGCAATGCTTTTTACACCACCTGTGGCAAAGAATAGTTTCGTGTTGCCCTGTTTTGTTGTTGTTGTTGTTGTTTCGGCTTTTTTAGTTTCCGATCCACTGCAAATCAGTACTTCAAAAGAAAAGATAATAAAAACGAATTTCTACATACTTACTCTCAATTCTTATACTTATCAAAGACCACTAACTGCTCATAAGCCAGAACCAATTCATGGACCACAAAGAATGCTTTAGATAATAACTTATTTAGATAATAACTTATGCTTTATTCGGAATCTGGTAATAAACTAGGCCTTTGGGATAAGTTGGTAAGCAATAATGACACCATGTCTTTTGTTCATAAGAGCTCTGTAATGAGGCTTTCACAGATGCTTAGTTTCTGAGACAACTGATAAAATCAGATAAACCAAAAGTTATACACAACATGTTTTTGACATTCCTCATACTACTGATCAGAAGCAGGAAATATTGTATTTATTTTTTCTTGATTATTCCTGTGTTAACCCAAGAATTTAAGTTCAGCAAGAACAGGGTGGTCTATATTCTTTTCCACTGAATTCTCACCACCTGCCACAGGGGTGGGTATACATAAAGTGCTCAATAAATGGTTGTTCGGATTGACTGAGGGTCAGGCAGATGGAAGAATGAATGAATGGAAAATGGACATACAGATCAGATAGATGGAAGGATGGATGGATGGATGGATAGAAAGAAGGAAGGAAGGAAAAGAGAGAAAGGGAGGGGGAGTGGGAGAGAATCAAGATGAATGAACAAACTTATTTAGTTGATCTAACAAATGAATTTAGTTAATTTTGATCAAATATCAGATCAAGTTTCATTTAAAAATCTTGTGAAATGTAATACACACACCTCCATTTCTGAATCAGCCCATGCTGTACAAAGATATTCATCATATGTCATGATTTTTCAACCACAACAATAAAGCCTTTATAAGCAATCTGAATATGCCTTGTGTAGGTGAGGTATGGGGGAAGGAAAGTTCAACAAGAGGAAGTGATTTACTTTAAAGTCATATCACAAATTTAATCAGACAACAAAAAGAAATAAAAGGCAACCAGATTGGTAAGGAAGCAGGAAAACTTTCACTATTTGCAGGTGACATAATACTCTATATAGAAAACCTAAGTGATCCCACCACAAAAACTGCTAAAACTGATAAATTCAGTAAAGTCACAGGGTACAAAAGCATGTACAGAAATTTGTTGCATTTCTATATACCAATAATGAAACAGCAGAAAGAGAAATTCAGAAAACAATCTCATTTACAACTGTACCAAAAATAGTAAGATTTTGGTTAGGAATAAACCTAACCAAAGAGGTAAAAGACTTGTACTCTGAAAACTAAAAAACACTGATGAAAGAAATGGAAGATGACACAAAGAAATCAAAAGACATTCCATGCTCATGGATTGGAAAAACAAATATTGCTAAAATGTCTACTACCCAGAGCAATCTGCACTTTTAATGCAATCCCTATCAAAATACCAAGAGCATTTTTCACAGAGCTGGAAGAAACAATCCTAAAATGTCTATGGAACCACAAAAGACCCCAAATGGCCAAAGCAACCTTGAAAACCAAAGCTGAAGGAATCACAATTCCAGATCTCAAGTTATATTACAAAGCTGTAGTGATCAAGACATTATTGTACTGGCACATAAACAGACATGTAGATCAATGGAACACAATAGAAAACTCAGAATTGGACCCACAGCTTAGTGGTTAGCAAACCTTTGACAAAGTAGGAAAGCATATTCTCTTGGGAAAAAAAAAAAACTTGTCTCTTCAACAATTCGTGCTGAGAAAACAGACAGCCACATGCAGAAGAATGAAACTAGACCACTTCCTAACACCAGACACAAAAATAAATTCAAAATGGATTAAAGACCTAAATGTGAGACCTGAAACCATAAGAATCCTAGAAGGGAGCACAGGTAATCAACTCTTTGACATCAGCCATAGCAACTTCTTTCCAGATGTGTCTCCTGAGGCAAGGGAAACAAAAGCAAAAATAAACTCTTGGGATTATATCAAAATGAAGGAAACAATCGATAAAACTAAAAGGCAACCTACAGAATGGGGGAAGGTATTTGCAAATGACAAATCTGATAAGGGGTTAATATCAAAAATCTGTAAAGAACTTATAAAACTCAACACTCAAAAGTGAATAATCCAATTAAAAAGTGGACAGAAGAATAGACATTTCTCCAAAGAAGACACCCAGGTGGCCAACAGACATTTGAAAAGATGCTGATGCATCATCAGTCATCAGGGAAATACAAATCAAAACTACAAAGAGGTATCACCTCACACCTGTCAGAACGGCTGAAAGCAACAACAAAAGAAACAACAGGTGTTTGCAAGGATGCAGAGAAAAGGAACCCTCATGCACTATCGGTGGGAATGTAAACTGGTGCAGCCACTGTGGAAACAGCCTGGAGATTCCGTGAAAAGTTAAAAATAGAGCTACCCTACGATCCAGCAATTGCACTACTAGGTATTTGCCCAAAGAATACAAATATACTGTCTCAAAGGGATACGCGCACTCTGATGTTTATAGAAGCACCATCTACAATAGTCAAATTATGGAAACAACCTAAGTGTCCAACAACTGATGGATAAAAATGTGAGATATATATATATATATATAGGAATATTACTTAGCCATAAAAAAGAATGGAATCTTGCTATTTTCATCAACACGGATGGAGCTAGCAAGTATTTAATTCTATTTATTTATTTATTTGTTTTTTTAGAGAGAAAGAGCGTGAGCAGGCAAGGAGCAGAGGGAAAGATGAAGAGAGAGAGTCTTAAGCAGGCTCCATAGTGTGGAGCCTGATGATGCAGGGTCAGTCTCACAACCCTGAGATCATGACCTGAACCAAAATCAAGAGTCAGACGCTTACTTGACTGAGCTACTCAGGTGCCCCCCCCCCGGAGCTAAAGTATTACGCTAAGTGAACTAAGTCAGTCAGAGAGAGGGAAATACCATATGATTTCACTCATATATGGAATTTAAGAAACAAAACAAATAAGCAAAGGGGGGAAAAAGAAGAGGGAGGGGCAAACCAAGAAACAGACTCTCAACTACAGAGAACCAACGGCTGGTTACCAGAGGGGAGGTGGGTGGGGGATGGATTAAATAGGTGATGGGGATTAAGGAGCACACTTGCGATGAGCACCAGGTGTTGTATGGAAGTCTTGAATCACTATATGTGCAACTGAAACTAATATCACGCTGTATGGTAAGTAACTGGAATTTAAATAAAAACTTTAAAAAATAAATAGATAAAAAATAACAAAACTGTATCACAAATTTTTTTTATCAAAACCATCTTGAGGACCAGACCTCTATATCTATATCATTAGCCAAGGTTCTAATAACTAGGATAAATGACCATGTTCCCTTTCAAGAAGCAAATAGTGAAAGTTCTAGAGAATTCAGTTTTTATGTTGATATAAGGCTTAATTGAGAGGCAAATTATAAATCTTTTGTTTAGCTTTCCAGTTTTGTAGCTGTTCTCTGATCCTTCTATATTATTGAACTGAGGATACTGCATCGTGTCTGACATGTTTCTAGCTGCAAGGAATCTTATTGGTCCATATATAACAAAGTCTTCTTGTTTATATAATTGGCACATAATAATTCTTTTCCGGGATTTGTTTTTCCAGGCTTCTCAGTGATCTATTGAATAAGGCCAGGGTACTTCCCGCAAGTAAGCTTTTAAGGTATATCCTAATTGCAAGTCAGTGATTTCTAGTAACTTCAGTGAACTTCCTTTCTGAGAATTTTGGATCAAGATAAATCAAAATACTATGTGGACAGCTACACAATGTTGAATTCGGTGCTAGCTGTAATTGCTCCGTACCATGAATAGAACAGTCTCAGTACATTCTTTTCAAAGTGCTTGAGCCACTATTTTAGTATTGCAACAGATGGAAACCTACTATACTTATTTTTCATCTTCTGTGGTTTCCAGAAATCAAGATACCAAGTAAGATGAAATCTAGATC